ACAACTAATAGGAAAAGGAATGGATATGGATTTTTTTATACTGTGGTATTAAACCATTTTGTTACATCTTGAATGGTATCGCTAAAGCTCAAATGAGCCTACATGTTTAACCAGATACCATTTTATTACAGACCCAACTGTGTATGTTGATATAGGCTCTAGATATGCTAAATAAGTTCCTAATATTGTCATACCTTCTTGTAATTAAATATGGTCTTATCATCTGTGAGACAGGATTTTGTATGAGTAATGTTTTTTGTTAGTGTGATAGTACGATAGTTAATAAAGGACACTTTAACGAAAATGTAAATACTAAGGACTCGGCTGTGATATGAAGTTAAACTTACCATTCATAAGAATAAGTACATTACTGTATCAGGTCCCAAGTCATTCATCAAACAAATGTCTAGAAGTGACCTGGCACAAAAGTGGGTGTGCACCTGTTTGAGCCTAGTGTGAGCTTTTGTGACTAACTTTTATGTGGATATCTTACCCAGGTTCCAAATTTAGTTTTAAGACTCGAGAGAGAATTTGCTAGAAACTACTGTTTTGCATGAAATATGGTCTTTTTTTTTTTTTTTAGCTATTTGAGTTATTCCCATTAATTTGTTAGCGTTAATCAAGTTTATGGTCATAATTAGTATTATGAGTTACTGTAATGTGGAAATTTGGGGCACCATCAAAATCACTAAATTGGGATCTGGGATAAACAATAATAAATTACCTAGTAAGGCACCTCATGGGGCACCCTTATTTCAAACAAATTTAATTCAAATTTCTACTCAGCATGTGCTACAGTCCTTGTAGTTGTAAAGTGCTTGGTGCTTCCCCCCGTTTATGTATTACAGGTATTCAGGTTTTAAGGAAAATTATTGGAGCTAGTTATTAGACTTGTTGAACTATACCGTATTCTGAATTTGAGATCTTTTACTGGACATTGAAACAGTGAGGATTAAAGGACCTGTGAATTATGTGCTTTATAAGCCATTCAGTAATTAGAAAAATGACCATGCAGTCCTTGGCATTGTCACACCTGTAGGAGTAAATTTTGAAATATTTTCCTCCAGCCCAGTAAGACTAGTGCATCGAAATTTGCACTAACCTGTCTTACAAATTGGTGTATTTTGGATGTTATGAAAGCATTTAACCATTTATAAAGTTTTGATCACTGGCTACCCCGCATATGCCACACTACTGTACTGATAACATAACAATGTTTGAATTTAGTGTCAGTGTAATGAAAGTAATTTATGCATGTAAAATGGCTAGGTTCCCTAAAATATCACACGAGCCAAACCAATACCATATACACTTGAACTGTTCCCTTGTTCCACACATACAACAGGTCAGCCAATCAGACACCATCATCCTGTTTGTGGATATTTGGTGTGAGTACCGTACAGTACAGGTATACGATAAGTAGCTGAGACATGATTAGGAGATGGACCAGAGTCTTAGGACTGTACTGTACAACACACCCCAATATAAGTGACAAAATTAGCTTTTTCAACACTAACAAATTATTAATCCATTGGGTGTTCATACAAACTTTCACTGACCATAGTCTTCACATACAGGTACCATGTAATATTAATTTCAATCCCATTTAAGATAACTGCATACTGAATATCGAATTGACAGGATTCATTTGTACCAGAGATAAGGAATATTTTACCTTTTTACTTTTATCCTCTTCATCACCGATTGGCTTGTTAGCCGCTTGGGCGATCGGGCACGTCTGTTACGCACTGTTGGCAAGTACTGGGCATGCACTGGCTCCTGAATGTATCTGAACCTGCTCCAGTGCTTATAAGTCTGGTCTTGAAAGAGCTCACATTCGGTGCCGTCACAAAACTCTCTGGCAGATTGTTCCAAGAATTCATAACTCTCACTCCGAAAAAGTTACCCCTCACAGTTTTCTGGACTTGTGGCTTCTTCAACCATGAGCTGTGACCCCTTGTGGGGCGAGCGTCCGCCAGCTCCAGGTAAGGGCACTGGACTGAGTAGTGCCCTTTGAGATGCTTATACACCTCGATAAAGTCTTCTCTTGCCCGTCTGTTGTTTAAGCTAGGCAATTTCAGGTGTTCTAATCTCTCTGGGTAGCTGAGGTGCTGTAGTGCAGGCACCAGTCTGGTGGCCCTTCATTGGACATTTTCAATCAACTGACAGTCTCTAGCATATCTCGCAATGGCCCGAGAACTTCAGCTCATTGTCAACGCACACGCCTAGGTCCTTTTCACATTCAGTCTCCATTAATGCAGTTTTATTTCTCCTGATGATTGAATACCCAAGTCTCTAATGCTGACCTCACCTTATAATATGACCTAACTAGCCTAACCAAACCTGCAGTAATGTAACCTAACAATCTAATCTAACATAATCTGACCAAGCATAACCTAACCTAATCCCCCCAGGTATCGTTAGGATGTTTAATCATCTGGTGAAATAAACATGGGTTCCCAATCTTCATGGGCTCTTCACTGAGAATAAAGTTATGAACTTACGTATTTGAACGATTATACATTATAATGAAAGGTATTTTATGAGCGTGTAGGTCTTAACTTATTTTTCTTTCATAATCAACAAAGATATTTAGTTTTAAATAATAATGTAGCTTTGATATTTACGAATCTTTGCACTACATACTACATCATATTACAGATAAAAAGTTTGTTAAAACCGGACATGATGTTCATTATCTAAGTTTTCAAAGCGGGACATTCTTGCAGTAGGTTGTGTACAGCTCAAAAGCAGGAGAGTAGTTGGGACGTCTTTGTTTAAGTGATTTTCTATGTGGTTTCGTTGAAGATCGATCACAGTCTTTGTTGTTGTTATCCATAGAATATCGACTGTTAGTAAACTTAGGAGACGAATATATTGGCAAATTTTCTTACATATTCATAATTCTATACATATACATGAATATACACCTGAGAATAGATTAGGAGGTGAGTGACACGTAGATGTGAGAATATCTCTTTACAGACCAGTTAGTCTCAGGTGTGTGGGAATAACTTGGTGAGCCGGTCATCGTGCAGTGTGGGTCCGCGTCACCTGATACACTTACAATATTCCTAGTGCCCCTTCATACCCAGACAACCATCCCTAGTGCCCGAGTGAATAAACGTTACCTCCCTAGTAACGTTAATGTCTCCTAATACAGTATCTCTCCTCTAGATGGGACCCTCTAGTACTGGTGATTTCTCCTGTCTAGATTAGATCCGTGTTGGCATAATATTTATACTGAAGGATACAGTCTGTAGCTATATACGCAACCTCGTTCTCGTACCATTTCTCTTCTAGACTGGACCCTTTGTGCCATAGTACAGTACTTGTTGGCATAGTACCGATATACAAGTAGCCTCATATTATTTACTGGTGGCGTCCCTTGACTCGACTGCACACTCGTTCGGTAAGTATTGTGGTAGGATGTTGTAATCTGGTGGTTATGTCATGTCATTTGGTATGTATGTGGCGTTTGGTTGGCATATGGTATTATGTGGTAGATAATGTGGTCTGATTTCTTGGATATGTGGTATTTGCTGTGCATGTGGTGCTATTTAGTTTCTTTGTGGTGTTATTTGTTGGGTATGTGGTGTTATTTGTTGGGTATGTGGTGTTATTTGTTGGGTATGTGGTGTTATGTGATTGGTATGTGATCGTGTGTGGTTACCCCCCATCCCTACCCCCCTAATTTGATTGGTTCCTCACTGCCTCCGTAAATAACGTTGGAAATTCCATCCTCCAGGTTTTCACGTTTATGTTGTTTTTTGTATTAGGTAGATTTCCGGGGAGTGTTTGTAGTGAGTCACACATGCACTAGTGGTCAGTAGCTGGGCCAGTGACACCTCAACCTCACCCCCTCTGTTGTTCTGTACTGTATGTATGTAGTTAGATTTGGTTTGACTGAAAGAAAAGCTAGGTTAGGTTAAAGTTATATTGAAAAAAAAATGTTTTTGGTTAGAAAGGTTAGTTGAATCAAATAAGGTTGGGTTAGGAAAGGATAGTAAGTATTGGTGAAGGTTAGTTAGAAGTTAGTTAACCTTCGTTGAATTTGGTTAAGTTGGTAACATAAGATGGAAGTAAATTGGGTTAGGTTAAGTTTAGAATGGTTAAGTATATATACTGTATATTTATTAAATTTTGAAAGGTTAGGTGAAGTTCACTTTAGTATGGTGAAAGAATTATTTAGATTTAGGCGTGAAATAGGTAAACACTGGTTTGGAAACAGAGTAGTGGATGAATGGAACAAGTTACCAAACGTCATCATTAACTCGAATACGCTGGATAGCTTCAAACATAGGTTGGATGCTTATATGAGCAATAGGGGTTGGTTGTAAACGGGACTGGCCAGTATGGGCCAATAGGCCCGCTGCATTTTCATCCATTCTTATAAGAACATAAGAACATGTTCTTATGTATGGTGAAGAGATAATGTGTGTATGGTGTAGTCTTGAAGGTGCGTGGTCAAGTGAGGTCTGTTTTCCTCTGTTTTATTGAATCTGAATTAATTTCTACCCATTTTGTAGTGTGACACTAACAAAGTTAATAAACTCCCCATAAGTTTATTTACACCCGTTTACGTTGAGATGACTGTGTTACCATGTATATTATTAATGTATGGTATTATTTCACTTGAAAATGTTGTTGTTGTGAAAGACAGGCAGCAAAAGACCACACTCAGCGTGCATCAACCGTAGACTAACTATTATTTCTCATTCTCAGTCGTGGGCGCGGTAGTTTCCAAACTTTCGGATCGTAATTCAGTATGACACTCTTTCCGCCTCCGGCAACACAGGTGTACTAAGACTAACTAATCATAGGTTGCTCTGGAAATGTCAGTCATTTGCAATACTGTATCTGTGTTTGGGGCATCAAGGTGAAAGTTCGGTGCGAAGTGGAAGAATTGTAGTCTTTGTCAGAGAATGTTGAAAAGGCAAAGCGAGGAAGGGCATTGAGCGTTGTGCGCGGGGGTCTGGCAGCGGGGCGCTTCACCTGGACGGCCACAGGTAGTGTTGGTGACGGCGTCGCTAGCAGTCAGTGTTGCCTCTGTGATGTCCGCCTGGTGCATGGTGAAAGTTGTCCAGGGTTCCTCCTTACCTGCTGGAGTGTTCTGTGTGTGTGTTTAAGTAAGAGTGCCTGATGCTCAAGGGTTCAGCTGGTTGAAAGTGCAGCTTTAGAGACGTGCCGTGGTGTCCAGATCAAATGTGTGCGAATTTGAAGGAGTCGAGCAAACTACGTAATTTTTAAGAGGAAGTTGTGAGGGTAGTGGTGGCCTCGCCTGCCATTGTTGAGGCAACGATAATATCCCTTCTCTAACTCCACGGGATACCCAGAGAAGAGGACCAAGACGACGGCATAAACTCTTCATTATTGACGAAGGAGCGCTTGTAGTGGCAGGTGAGTTAGCGTGGTGGTGGGTGTTGCAAGTCCGGCCACACACACACACAAACTCACACCAGCGCTTCTGGCAACTTCCCCCAGACACAGTTGAACATCTCGACCGCTCTGGACACCCCGAGACAACCTGTACCACCCCTGCCTGTACCCCCCTGTGTGTGTGTGTAAAAACAGCCCTCTGTGTGTGTATGTAACAACACCCTATGTGTGTGTGTGTAAACGGCTACCTGTGGATGTATGTGTGAACGACCCCTTGTGTGTATGTAACGACACCCTATGTGTGTGTGTGTGTGTGTGTGCGTAAACGGCTACAAGGTTCCCAGGGGCATTAAGGGGATTGTAATTTACAGTCAGGAAATTTTGTTCCATAGCCCAAACGTCCGAATACCGTGTATGACCCCGTGTGTGGATGTTCAGTACTCCTTGTGTATGTGTGTTTTCTGGTTATCTTGAAAACGTCCACAATGAATTGTGGTATTTTTTTTTTCGCGCAGTGAGCGAATTTCGATCTTTGAGCCTAACACACATCGTGTCAAGGGGTGTAGAGATTGTGGCAGTGTATGTATACCCTGAGTTGAGGAAGAGGGGGTGGGGGAGGTCACACATATTACTCCATGTACAGTATATTGGGACAAGAAGGAGGGGGAATTCCAGTTTTTAGGGCACCATGACCTTTCGAGTATCGCTGATGGCAAACCCTTCTCGTGTTGAGATTTGCTACGGGGCAATGTTTTACCTATTGTGTGTGTGTTATCAAAGTTCAACGTGGCCTCCACACAACACACACTTCTCTACATATAATCAATCTCACAACCCCACACCCACCCGACCTAACTCGCGCTCTTGCCCACTCAATCCCACTCACGTTCTCAGTCACTCAAACCCCACGCAACACCACCACCTCACCACTGCACTTCTAACCCTCCTCTCACCTAGCATCCTTCCTCATATCACACCCAGCACCCCTCCCCACACCCAGCACTCCTCCCCCTACACCCAGCACTCCTCCCCCCACACCCAGCACTCCTCCCCCCACACCCAGCACTCCTCCCCACACCACACCTAGCTCCCCTCTTCACCCCAGCACCTCTCTTACACTACACCTCCACACCCATTCCAGCACACGTGTTCGTTTCACTTAATGATTTTTGACACGTGCTGGTGTAGTGACGGTGTACATGATGAGGCCTGGTGAGGCCTCACTCAACGCTCTCTCTACCAGAACGTCCTAAGGCCCGTACCTCTACCGTATCCCTACTTGGGATGTGAATGTCTGTCTGGCTGACTCCTTTAAGCTACGGTATAAAGGTGGATTCTAAAAATATTAAAATTTCTTCTTAACTGTAGATTTGAGATGATATATAAATTGCCATATAGATTCTCAGTGCATCTTACAATAAGTTTTTTAAAAATAAAGAATGAATCTACTTACCTCACTCACTCGAACCGAGACTACATACTGTGCTTAGTGTTCTCTTGTCTTATGTATAGGGATAGAACTACTGACTGCTACTACGCAACTATCGACCATGAGTGATTGGGTTTAACATTATCAAGTTCATTAATCATGAACATTAAAACGACTAAAATATTTTGAGTCACAATGAAGTGACGTGTGTGTGCAGGCGTGTATACCCGTGTTTTACTGGAAATTGTCGTGTCAAGGTTATCGTGTCGGGTTTGAAGTGAGGTAGAGTTGTCATGACCTCGTACTCAAAAGTTTAAAATGATGTACTCAAGAGTTAAGACATCATACTCAAGGGATTAACACATCGTTCTCAAGGGATTAACACATCGTTCTCAAGGGATTAACACATCGTTCTCAAGGAATTAACACATCGTTCTCAAGGGATTAACACATCGTTTTTATTGGGTTGACAAATCACATGAAAAGAGTTAAGCCATACTAAAATGAGTTAAACTATCGTGTTCAAAGGCTTAAGAATGTACTAAAAGGGTTAATATATCACACTAAAATAAGAGTATCGTTCTTAAAGAGTTAATATATCGCTCTCTAAAGATGAAAGCATTGTACTCTAAAGGGCAAAGGCATCATAAACAAGGGATAAGATATAATACTCAAAGGGTTAAGGCACCGTGGTCGAAGGGTTAAACTCTCCTATTGGTATAATTAATAGTACTCAATAGGGTTGGTCTCGTACTCAAAGGATTTAGTACAAAATGCGTTTGGTGTTTATTATCTCAAGAGTTCTGTCGACACGAACCAAACAAACGTATCCTAATACTATACCAACATGATTCTTGTTTCAGAGTTGTGTTTACAGATGAGTCACGTACTGTACTGCCAGCTAGTGGTCGTAATGCTAAACAATTATGGAGTTTCTTGGTACACGAAGGGTTGTTTTGGTTTCGTGAGGTCGTCGTACCCAAGCGGATGTTATTGGGGGAGGATGTTATTGTACTTAAGGGAATATCGTACTCCGGGGGATGTTATTGTACGTAAGGGATTATCGTACTCCGGGGAATGTTATTGTACGTAAGGGATTATCGTACTCCGGGGGATGTTATTGTACGTAAGGGATTATCGTACTCCGGGGGATGTTATTGTACTTAAGGGATTATCGTACTCCGGGGGATGTTATTGTACGTAAGGGATTATCGTACTCCGGGGAATGTTAATGCACTCGTGAGGATATTATGATGCAGTGAAGTTGTTATCGTCGTAGCTGTAATAATAATAACAATAATAATGGTATGCCATTTATTACCGTATATAGTAATTAATAATGAGGGAGACATGAGCGTATAGGAGAAACCAGGCCAGATGTTGAGACACGTGGAGGTCACAGGTGTATACAGGTGAGGCAACATATGTGTAGGTCACAGGTGTACGGAGGTGTGGGCGAGTCATCATAACACTCCCCCTCCCCCCTTTACATGCCAACACAAGCCTCTGGACAAGTGTTGTATGTAGTGGTCGATAGGTGTTACGAGCGGCACGTGATAGCTAATGTTTTTGACAGCTTAGTCATGTGTAGCGCTAGAATAACACATACGTAATTGGTGAAGGTGAATTTATTTTGAGTACATTATATATAAAATGTAATGTAGTGAAAGTGAGTATATATTATGCCCATGGTGTATATTAAAGTATATTTATATCATGTGCCTTGACCTGTTGTTTCTGAGTGTGTGTGTGTGTGTGTGTGTGTGTGTGTGCGAGAGAGTGCATAACATGTACACTCAACATGTCATTCTACTCAATGATCATCAAGAGTGTAGCAGTGAGAATGGCCGGAAGAAACCTCGCTGCTACGCGACCATTACTGCCGAGGAATTGTTCGTGTAATTGAGGGAAAACTTTAAAACTTGAATATTGTTCCACTTACAGCGGGGAAGGTGGTTATGAGTGACTGTGGGTGAGGGGTGGTCTCCTGGTGGGGGTGAGGAGTGAGGGCTGGTTTCCTGGTGGTGGGGGAGTGGGCCACCTTGGTGTGGGAGGCAGCCAACAATTACCGCGATTCTGCTGCCTTCTGGAAAGGGATCAAGCGACTGATGGGTTCCACCTCTAGCACGGTCCCTTACCTGCTCAACCAAAACAACGTGAAAATATTCGAGGAGGAAAACCAAGAACAACTACATCGGCGATATTTACGGAAGGTCTTTACCATTAGGGAACAGGAGAACGAGGACTTCGACAGGGAGTTTGAGGAGGACATTTTAAGTCAGTTGCAAGACCACCAGCACCTGCTCCAGTCGCTCACATGGACTGACTTCATTAGACTGGTGGACCATAGCTCCTACAGATGTGTCAGCCGTCATAAAAGGATTTAAAAACAAATCACCTGGGCAAAGCCATATTAACAAGAAGATCCTGGCGCAACTCCCCGACAACATGATAGAGAGGCTTGGTCATACCTATATATGCAATGCCTGCCTCGCCTCTGGATACTTCCCTAAGAAGTTCAAAATTGCCGTTATCCGCCGCATACCAAAGGCAGGGACGCCTCCAAACAAAGTTGAAAACTTTCGACCAATATCGCTCCTAGAGGTACCTGCCAAAATCCTTGCAAAAATAGTAAACACGCGGTTGCGGATGTATCTAGAGGACGAAGACGTGCATAAACTCCGCCAGTTCGGCTTCCGCCAGTACCGAGGCACATCCACCGCCATAGCCCAGACCTTCGAGCAGATTGCCAACGCCATGACTGGCCGCCTGCAGTGCAACGTAGTACTGAGGGACGCCAGCAAGGCGTTTGATAAAGCTTGGCACGCGGAGCTGCAGTATAAGATCATACAACTGGGGCTAACCGAAAACCTGACGCGCCTGCTGTGCAACTTCATTACGGACCGCAGAGCCAAAATCAAGATGCAAGAACATTTTGGAGGTGAATTCTCACTCTCGAGCGGCGTGCCTCAGTCATTGTCTACCAATGTAACCATTGTGCAACCTCATCCTAAATCCTAAGTTAGTTTATTTAGCCAACAAACTCTGTAATATGTAAACCAAGGGGTGTCGTCCCCCTCTGTTTAACTCATTAAACTTCTTTTCCAACCTTTCCTCCCACGACTATCTGCCGTGACTTCTCTATCCTTCATGTCTGGCTGTGCCTTGAACCCCAGCATACCTTCCATCCTTAACCCCACCTTAAAAAAAAGGGTGGGGGGGGGGTCTCCTGTTGGTGGGGGAGGGGTGGTCTACTAGTGGTGGGGGTGAAACTAGGATGTGGTGCAGGAAGGTTGGTCCATGGCAGCCTCAAGGCAAACCCTGTGAAAATGTTACCAGCGGCTGATGGTGGTGATAGTTAAGTAGAGGTGGTGGTTATATGGTGATATAGTGGTGTTAAATGGTGGTGGTAGTAGCACTTACGTATAGTAGATAATAGTGGTGGCAGCAGTCAATAGGTGTTAAGCAGATACTGTATATGTCTTAATGAGTGATGGGTATAGTGGTTAGTGTTGTGATGGTGGTAATGGTGATTATAATTTTGGTGGTGGTGTTTATGGCGGTAGTTATGATGATGGTAGTGATGGTGATT